CCCCCCCCCCCCCGAGAGACCCTGTTGATTACTCGTGCTGGCTCGTTTGGGAACATCCTGTTCGCCGGCGATGGTTTTTCCTTTTGCGACAACTTTTGGTTTGGATTTTGCGCTGGTGCTGGTAGTGTTTTGAATGTTTTCTGGTGAATTTTCTTCGTTTTTTTTGTCAGCTCAAAATGGGGACAGATTTTAGGTGTCTCTGTCCTGTCTTGTGTTACGGGGAAGTTGCATCATGAGCGCTCATGCTTCGAAAAGAGCGTACAAAGCCCTTGCGTTCATTGAAACACCGCAGCAGCAGGTGATGCACCAGCAACAGCTTCACATCTCTTCGCGGTTGATCGATCGAGGTTGATCCCGTCCTGGTTGGTTGCTCGAGCACGCGTTCACTACTTCTGCTGTCACGACGAAAGCACACCTATCAACACAATTTAATCTCTTGGCCTTTTTCCCGTCGAGGATGACTCTCCTCGCCGTTAAGGCGCTATTTTGGCGCCTTGCCGCGAAGATTTCGGATGCGTATGTCATAGCTCTCCGAGAAACTTGTACTACCGAGGAGGGGCGTTATGTTGGGGCCTGTCCTGACGCCCGCCGGAACATCAGACGCCGGGAGGCGCACATTTTTGCAAAACCTCCTCTGGCGAATGAGGACTTTGTCGACGACTTAGGAAATCTAACCAGAACCCTAACTCTTCCACAGAATGTGGTGTTGTCAGTGTCTTGAGGGCTGAAGGGCTTGCTACACAACGCCTTGTCACGTTCTTTTAGTCTTTCCTACAAAGACAACCCGGTCGTGCATTTCCACAGTAAGTGTTGGCGCTACGCCTGAAGCAGGAATACTGCTGTTGCGTAGGCGTCGGCACCTTTCGCTTGCCGCCCCCCACACTTGGCATGATTACATACGCACTCAACAAATCAGGTGCAGTCGGGTGTCTCGTGGCATTCCTTGCCTGTTTTTTCTCATTTTTATTTCTTAAGATTTTTGTAGTGATGGAGGAAGAATTTTTGGGAGGGGAACAGATTGAAGCTATCCAATCTTCTTCAAGGACGACGTGTTCCTTCCTGTTTCGTTGGACATCAACGCGCTTGTTTTCCTACAACCCTTCCTTGTGCCGCTCTTTCCTCGTCGACGTCAAGGTGGAAATTACATTGAATGAATTCGCATGTATGCAGATATGGTCGGAAATCGGCAACAAACAACTCGTGCCTCGTCGAATTCAGAATCTGATGTACTACAGCATTACAGCATCTACACTATTATACGTACATGTGGGTACCTATGCAACGTGTACCCCACAGTCTGCAGATCCAGGAAAACTTGATGGATTTGTCGCTCTGCTGGGTCACCCAAAAAGCACACATTGCCGTAGCTTGCTTGTGATTCGACTTGTCTCCCCTCCCCCCCCGCTAAAGACACTTAATATAAACATAAAATAAACACCGTGTAGACTACAGCAGTACACTGCGGCAGTACTTTTTCTCTCTCTGTTACACATAGCGCCCGCAGTTAAGAACTTAGCACTTAAGAAATTGAGACTCGCAAAAAATCAGAAGCTAAGAACTTGAGCACCATTTGTGAGCTCGATTAAGGACCCTACACTAAAACCTATATAGCGGCCATTTGTAGCCCACAAGAGGATGATCAGCAAAATAAGAACCCCAGCCTCGGCCGAAACTATAATAGAGGTTCTTAAGTGCGGGCGCCATCTGTACGGGGCAGCAAATAAATGTGGTGCCAATGTGGTTGGAGGATGTATATTTCTAGGAATTCCCAAATATATTTGACTCGTCCGAGCAGAGGCCTCTCGCACGGTTGATGACCCCCAAGAAGTTGCCCATGACATTGCTATTGGTGCTGTAGTTGGAACAACCCTGATCATGCGTCCGGGTTGTTTGTAGACCCGCAAACGTCTCCTCTTTCTCCACGTTCGTAACCAAGCGCTTCTCAAGGCGGAGGCTGGCTTCCTGTAGAAACGCCAAGAACCGAACTTCGCTGCAAGCATGCGTCGGATTTTCCGTTGCACGGGGAACAAACACCATGCCACGACACGAGGGGGTGACGAAACACGAACGTATTGTACATACACGAGACGGGGTGTGGGAAGGGGAAGTACAGTGAGAATGCATTGAGAGGGATTGGGCCGGACTGATTTAGATTCTCCTCGTGAAGATGGGCACCACTTGTCAATTGCAAGATGGCTGTTTGCAGGCCGACGAAACAAGACAATATGGACTCTTCGAAGAAAACAAGAAGGTCACCTGTTGGAAAGATCAGGGTGCCACACGTCGGCGATCAAAGTAACCCGTGGTGCTGCCCTGCTTCTCCTGCATCTTTTCTCCGCTGCTTTGCCCCGTCCCTCACCCACACTGCAACCTCCCCGTCCCCCCTGTGTCCCTCGTTCTCCCGGGTGACACGCGTCGTTACAGTCTTCTCCTTGCGCTTCCTCTAAGCACGACGGTCCTTCTCTAGTGTTGTTATCGGTGCCGCGACTGTTTCTGTCAACAACGTTCTCGTTGCTGCTGCTGCTGCTGCTGTCGTCATCACCATCACCATCGTCATCGTCATCGGTGTCGCCCTCGCCCTCGCCCTCGCCCTCGCCCTCGCCCTCGCCCTTGCCTATACTTTCTTCCTCGTTTTTGGCAGAACTGTTGTCGTCGTCGTCGTCGTCGTCGTCGTCGTCGTCGTCGTCGTCGTTCCAAGCCTCATGCTCGAAACTATCGTCGAACACAAGCGCCTTTCCCTCGACAACCTCCCTTGTATCGGAACCAACCCGAAGACGGGAGAGTCCACCCCCCGGACCGAGGAGTGGAAGGTGCACCCTAAGCTTCTTATTGGTTGGACCTGCAGGCTCGCATGAAGGATCAAAAACGTCGCGAATGAAGTGTTTGAGGGAAGAAGCGGTTGAAGCTTCGGCGAGTCATATCGTGGGTAGACTTGTCAACGTTTGGCCTGTGATGTGGGTAGGGAGCACGGTATGGTGACCCCAGCGATCCTGCCAGGGAGGAAGTGGCGAAGAAGTTAAACGACATAGTATGTATCCTGCCGCACGAGATGCATCGCCTTTTTCTCCCACTCGTCTTCACCTGCCGTGCTCGCTACGTGCTCCAGCTTTGGGTCTCACCGTTGTGCTTGACGACGTGGGTGCCCGGTGCCAGTGCCGAGAAAAAGGCGTGCTTGTGGTGGCGTGGAAGGGCTTCAACCAGCTTCACCGTTTTCGGGCACATGGATCGATTCTGGTGGACACATGAAAATTTGTGGCAAACACATCCAGCCGACACGACATTAGGACTAGAGTACAAGTCCATCGAGACAGGAGGCGGGGAGGGAGTTAGGGATGGCTGTAGTAGCACTTCCAGCCTCCTCTTGGTTGTAGGTCCTCATGTCTAGCCAGCATTCAAAACGCTGAAGGTTGTGAGATTTTATTTCAATGTAGGTTGCCTGTTCCCATTATATATCAGCGCCGTCTCACTCACTTGTGAAAAGTCGACGACGCTGTGCAGAAAAAGGTAAAATACATTCCAATCTCCCCCTTCATGGCAATGGGTACCCACACCATCCTTCGCCGCCAAGTCTCCTCTGCGCGATCCGCCATTGGGCGCCCTGTATGGCTGATGGGTCAGAATGGTAACAGTGAGGGTCAGAGAGGAGCGAGAGGGCAGGGGGGGGTGGGACTTGTCCTTTCATACCCCCTCCTAATGCTTAAAACCGTCGGGTACATGAAATATCTCTGGTGAGGCGAAGCAACATCATTCTTCTGATGAAATCCACTCGTGCCCTACCATGACATTTGACATGATCACATTTCAGGGAGAAATATCTGACGTACCACAAAGGGGTGTAAACTACCGATTCTGTACAACCAACAAATAATTGTTTCACCTGGAATCCTCGCCGTCCCCGTAGAGCGAGCAGCTCTTCCCTGACGTCGCGGAATCCTTTCTCGAAGTCGGTCACCCATGGAAAGTCGAAGTCCTCCGCCGACCAGAACGCCTTCGACCTCAAACCTTCAAATCATCAAGCCAGCGACAGCATAGGTTGGGGACAAACGCCGATATGTTGGACGAGCGTACAGTAGCGGCGGGACAAGCGCCAACAGAAAAGAAGGTGCTTTACACACCGCAGGATCCGTTTGTAATTATGAATTGTGTGAAAACGATTTACGGTACACACAGTAGTGTTCCACACCGTAACCCGTGATGATGGGAGGATTTTGTACACGTGCCGGTGATGTTCGGCAAGAAACTCGTGGAACGTAGGACATCGGGTTGTGGTAAACACCGGACCAACCCTTTGGGAAGAACCAAGTGAATCGGGCAGTCAACCCGTGTGATGTACTTATATATATTTCGTGGGGCATGTGAGTGTGACTGTCTGAGCCAGCAGACGAGGAAACCGATTTGCCGTAACCGTGGATGGCATCACGCATCAAGGGTTCCATGCCTTCGTGACCTGAGTGGGACAACCGTATACTAGCTCACCGTGTATTATCTCAGGGCAGCCGGCTTGCCATTTGCTTGATGCCGGCGTAGATGTCCCTGAAGATCCAAACGAGTTCAGTCGGCCGACAAGCCAACCGCGCACCCTAGAAAAATCTCCGGTAGAGTCTGATCCAATACTCTGGCCGCAGTATTATTATTAGCGTAACGACGGGCAGGAAATGCCCGCTTGTTATTATAATAGTTTTTGTGACAAATTCCGACTGCTTTCGTCCCGTCGGAGGCATCCACGCCCCTCCCGCTCATCGTCGTGCCGAAGAGGAAAGCCGAGGCAGTGTTATGGCAATGAGAGCCAAGCACGCCGCACGAGTGAGACAGGAACACACGTCAGGTGCCTTTCAAAATAGCAGCACGAGCATACACCCTCTCTACGCGCAGCATTCGGCTCGTTATTGTAACGCTTCGGACAAGCCGTGCAATTTTCCACGGAACGGTGAAAAGAAAACCCGACTTTTTTTCGCTTGTTCTATTCGTGATGTCATCGCAAAAAGTGCGTTTCCTTCCCTGAATGCACGCCTTGCTCGGCACAAAACAGGTTGACTTGGTGTTGCTCACCATAGAGCAGCGGTAAAAGCGCAATGAGCAGCACCCGACACGGAGGACAACACACTTAGAAAGATCCTACCGTATATGACACAAGATAACACACCCCCTGGACCAATTTTCAACGCTCGATTACTCCACGACCAATAGGATACATAAACGAAACGATACGTTTTTGGAAAGCTCTCGACGAGGCGGTTCCAACGCCGCCGTTTTCGGCGCCGTGACTCTTTTTGTTGTTGAGAAATCAAGATTTGAAAATCGGTCCAGGGGCTGTGTTATCTTGTGTCATATACGGTATCCACCCAGCCTGCTGTTTTCAGTTTCCACCAACAACAGGCGCATGGCAGACTTGTCGCAACCTGGGTGTTGCTTGCGATTTTTTCAGTTTGCCAGTTCATTTATCACGGTTGCGACTCCCATCTTTGACCACCAACTACCCAAAGGTAGACGAGCTCAACAATCATAGGGCGGCAGCCGCGCTGACGACCAGCATCAATTAGATGGCCAATCCGAAAGAATTAGCGTGTCGGAGGCCCTGTTGCTCTTCTGCTGCGTGGTGTCGTGGATTGATGTTGACGTGTCCGACCAAAAACAGACCATCTCGCCGCATTTTTTCCAACGACATTTTGGTGAGGGTGGCACACGTCTCTCACACACCTTATTGAGCAGCACCCAAGCACCCAACACCCACGAAGCAGCACGGAGCCGGGAGATGGTATCATTCAGACAGCCGAACCGAAGGAATCAGCGCGTTGGAGGTCTTGGTGCTGGAAAAAATTCCCCAGCACCAACCACCAACGCAGCAGCTGAAGCCGAGAGCACTACGCAATGTCTAGTTTTGGACCAAGAACGGACTGAACTGAACGCCGCTTCTGCCGCTCGTCCATCTCCACAGCAGACCTGGGATATGAGTCTGGCAGGTCTTTCTAGCGTTCTCAGTGATGTTACAGCGCCCGCGGTGCGCTTGTCCGATGCTTCTGTCAAAAACATGGATCCGTGAAAGTGGCACGCCCCCCAAAATCCCGGCTCCTTCTTTTCACGTTTTCGGGGAAAAACGCCTCCATATATGTTCAAGAATACACGATTCCGTCAAATGTCAATGTTCCGTGATTTTATCGTCGTTAATAATACCCCTTACAAAGAGGTCATCTACGCGACGACGAGGAAAACTGAATAGGCATGCAGTCAGTGTGACCCACCTGTATCCAACTGCGAGCGACCGCCTCCCCCATTGGCGTTAGCCCGTATCCGCGCACGAACTTATCGATTCTCGTACGGAGCCTTTGCTCCACGGCGGGTAGACTAACCAAATGCGGACCGGTGTGCTCAACGTTTGGCCCTCCTTTTTCTAACGCCTCACCGGTTCCCTTCGCTCGTCCTTGGGGCCGTGCTTGTTGACAACAACCATTGTTGTTGTGCATTTTACTAACCCAAGTGCTTTCGCCACGCAAGATACCCCCGTAGCCTTTCTTCGTAATTTATCTCGGTCTTTGTTCACCTTGCTGGGCTAGTCGTCGAGAGGAGCAGCCATCTATACCCCGTCGACGGTGAGCGCATACAAGTTGCTTGCCTTATAACCCGGAACATATCCAAAGCACGCCGCACGCACACCTAGACACTTTTGCACGACAGAAAAAAAAAATAGTAAGTGTGAGAAAAAACGCTTCCAACGGGAAAGCAGCCCCCTGTGGAAACCCCTCGGATCAGGCGGCTCGCGGCGCAACAGACCTCCACACCCAGCACGGGCTCTAGAGGGCGAACCAGAGGCTAAACTGCCCAGAAAACTCGAGAGGTATGTTAACACGATGCAAGGGCACAGCAGGGTATGTTTTTTACGCCCAGATACACATGGTAGGGTGAGAAATTTAGACTTTAGCTAGAGCATACCACACTGCGGCAGCACCAAAATCCGCGAGGAAGCTTCACACGCGAGCCGACCTCTGCGCAAGCTTGGCGTCTTGCAGCCCAATTATGCTGCCGACGTATACCTAGGTCTCATTGCCACCTAATGCAAAAGGTTTGAGGCGATTTAGTGCGGTAGAAAATAAGCATGGTGTGTTCAAAATTCAAATTTCAGGAGAGCCTACGCCGGGGGGTTCGAACGCACGCCCTCGCATGTTGCGCATGTACATCCACTGGATACACGACCCCCATCCAAAGATTCCATGGAAATGCTCGATACAGTCCGGCCGCCACAAAAATTTATAGGAAATATGGACGTCGAAAGAGCAAGTACGTCTGTCTTGAAGTTAAAATTTAGCTCGGTGCTTGCCATGGTGCGAGTGAAACATGACCCGGGGCGCTCAGCTACGCGTACTCCAGACCGTTCATCAGCAGTAGATTGGAACGGCGCAGATATGTCGAGTCGGGCATATAGTCTATAGTGCGTAGATCGACAGCTTTCAGTCCGTCACGCTCTGAGGTACATAAGCATACCCAAACAGAGGATCATATGTTATGCATGGCTGTCAAGAGACAACGATAGAACCACACACATAGCATAGGTGTGCGCCTGCGTAGGCTGTACGTGTCACGTGACCTTTTGTAATTTTTGGTTGTATACCATGGCCAGGTATTTAATGCATGGGATAACGGCCGGCACAGGTCGTGCTGACAGATGACCCGTCGGAGAGGTAGGGGGGGCAACCGGGCTGGTGGGGCTAACAACCCCAGAGGTCAACCGGCTACGCCACCTGCTACACCTCCAAACCAGCCTAGGAGCTCTGTTACACCCAGAAGCGGGGGTATGCAGCCAGCATGGGACCTTCGTCAGCTTACGGAAGGCCCGCTAACCCCGCGTACTCCAGTGGTCGACAACTCAGGGGGAGACATAACAAGTGAACGTCCACGGATCAGGAGCGGGAGAGAGGGCAACTTAACCACTGAGGTGCGCACCCCCACCGCCGCGACAAAGCGCGACGCGAGAGATTCCGGTGCACGCGTCCGTCGGACGGGAGGAAAATCCCGGTCGGGCAGGAAACGCAGGAAGAGGCCCTCTGTTGGTGTCACGGGTGGTGGACTACCCAATCTTGAGAGCAAGCTCGAGGAGGAGGATTACTACAGACAGCAGGGCGAGGCGAGGAGGGAGGCATCGGCCCGTAAAGCTCGCGCGATTGCCGAAGACGAACGGCAAAAAGCAGAGTCCGCGGGGAATCACCCCGTTGATCCTCGGCGTAGGAGTCACGGCGGGAACCCAAGACAAGCTGGTTATCAGCCTGGAAAGCGGAATGCGGGTAGGAGACTTTCTGCCCCAGCGGTGCTATCTGTACGCCAACCAACAAGCAAGAAGCGAAGAAAGGCGTGCGAGCGTATGGAATGCGGGTGGGTTACAGACCACCCTGGCACCGAGTGTAGCAAATGCTCCGGGAGTGTAGTGCACTCGGACGACGATAAGCTATGTTCGGCATGCCACAGGTCTCCGAATGACGACGGTTTCAGGCACCTCCGCGCGGACCGGTTAGGGCGAGCAGTAGACTTCGTGACCGCGTGGACACAAGGAGAGAAAACCCTCCCTCCAGCTCTCGTGCGAGACTTTAGGCCCAGCAATGACTGCCTCTGCGCACGCCCAGACTGCTTCCTAGTTTTTTTCGCCGAGGAAGAAAGGAAGGCAGAGTCTCGCGTTTGCGGTACTTGTGGGTACCGGAAATCGGGCAAGAGCATCGTAAGGTGGTACCCCATGGATGCTGCAGATGACGATGTGGCGGAGGGGAACGCAACGGTGAGCGATGGCCTTTGGTGGTGCGGCCGCTGCTATCAGAAACGGTTGGACGGCATAAAGAGAGACGAGAAACAGCCAGAGCACACAGCGAACAATACGCATGGATCGGGGGGTGAGGCGCCGGTGCCTCCAGATCCGTTGGACACGGTGCGCGCTATGGTGGAAGATGTCGTCCGTCGAGGTGAGATCCTGTACTGGCAGGACGTCGCCGCTTGGGTAACAGCGGAACGCGCGAAGCTTGGCATGGAGGAGTTACAAGGGAGATACCCAAGAAAAATCGTCCGGGCCATATTTGCAAGCATCGAAGAGTCCGGGACTTCACGCTTGGTCAGTCACGAGCCAGCACATGGAGACGCACGCGAGCGAGAACTTTTCCTCTTTCCAAAGACCCTTGGGGACGAGCATCTCGTTGACTTAATGCTGCGTGCTCGCCGTAATGCACCCGTACAGCCACCATCCAACCAGCTTGCGGATAAGGGCGGGTCTCTCAAGTCCATTCTGAGGGAAGTCGAGAAGAACACGGAGGACGCAGACGCAAGGATGTCCGTCGTGCGGGCAGCAGGTACAATTGTTCGAGCCGACGTGGAGAGTGATCCTGCCCTGAAGAACACCCCCGGGACGCGCGAGAAGCATCGCTACGCCGATGAGTTGGACATGAAAGTGAAGCCACCCAGAGAGACTCTACTCACCGCGTTTCCTCCGGCCTTGGTTGGGTTATACCAAAGCATGACGAACATGGCACTGTATCGCGAGATCATCGCATCAGAGACCGAGTATCCTGGAGAGGCCTGGGTATGGCAGACCGAAGGGCGAGATGGGCGGCACCCTACCACCTCGGGCGACTTGGAGGGCGAGGACGGTGATGGAGAAAAGAAGGACGAGGTCAGTCAAGGAGCAGTGGCGGTGTCGTTAGGGCCACGGACCGAGGAACAGGCCAGGCATATCGACAGCCTTAACCGCGACAGGCGATCTACGCATCGTAGGCTTCTAGTGATGTGTACGGTGGTGGTGAAGGCCATTTTGCGTGGTCGGCACATGGGTTCGCACGACATCAAAGGGGCTCAGTGGGCAAAGTCTAAGGGTACGTGTCGCGATGTGATCAACTTTGTAGCGGAGTACGGTTTATGGGCGACGACGTCGCAAATTCAGCACCGAGAAGATTTCCACGCGAGGTTCGTAGAGGACAAGGACCTCCTGAGCCGGGACGCCGAGTGCGCCGCCATTCCCCTGGACAACTGTGATTTTGACCCGAGGGTCGGAGTAGGCCAGGGGGAGGGGCCTCATCTTCCCTTCATCGCTGCGACGGCCTTGACAGTAGGGCCCGACGTAGGTCGAATGGACGACTGGTGGATGGTCAAGAGCCGGGGATCTCTTACGGTGGAAGACGTCCTTATGGGACCGGAGCGGGACCGGGAGGACGGAGCACGGCGGTATAACGAGTTTTCGTCCGAACTCTACCGCGGCGTATTCGCTGAGGCGCGGAACAACTCCGACAGGGCTGCGGCAGACACATGCTTCGAGTCTGAACTCCGCACGGTAAGATATCATTTGGTTACTTTCTCTCTCCTTGCTTTCTGGTTTTTCCACGACTTGTCCCGTCTGATGCTACCCAATTATATGTAGCGTTCGTCGATTCTGAGTCGCGCTCTCCACCCTATTCCTCGTCCACGTAGGCCATCACACCCGAGGGCAAATCGCCGCAGCAACTGCGATACGCGTTCATCCAGAAGGGTTCTACCAAGCGTTTCAGCGATATGAAGGCAGCCATCCAGCGCATACAAGGTATCTGGTGTGGGTCCCCAGCCGGTAAGGCTGGTGCACCATTCATACTCGGTGGGGACGAGGAGACATACAAGCACATGTACCACGTCATGGCACAGGAGCCGCGCGAGTACCGACAAGTCCGTCGATACCCCGGCGATTGGCATTTGCTGTTGCACATGGCCAAGGCGATGCTTAGGCGATACTGGGGTGCTGGCGTGGAGTTCGTGGCGAAGGATTTGGGCACAGACGGGTCGAAGTCGGGGGAGGGGAGCAACTACCGTCGGGCACACCACCACATAACGGCGTTTTGGGCGGCGTTTATGGCTCTGTGTCGAGAGGAATACTTGAAGAGTTTGTCGACGCCAGGTGACAGACCGGTGGAAGAGGACGAGGTGGTCGACGGGGTGGTTCGGTGGATAGTGGCACGGACGGAGTCTCACAAGACTTTCGCTGTGTGGAAGCAGTTCCTCCTCCACGACTACCCTGCGTACATCGCCTTCCGAACTGCCCTGCGTACGGGGAACTTCAGGCTAAGGCTTGAAGGTCTTCGCCGTATCGCCCCCATTTTTTTCATCACCGGCAAAGATAAGTACCAGTTTCTCGTGGTAGATCATCTGACGGAGGTGTCGCGTTATTCGCGCAACGATATGAGGGTCGTATCCGAGCTATTCTCCGTCTCACTCGGCCCTGACACGTTTGCACGAATCGGCTTGGACGAGCGGCAGGAGGTGTCCAATCGTCTCTACAAGACATTGACGAAAAGGATCCTTTCGAGCACGATAGAAAAGCTGGCACCGATTGCCCAGCTGCGTGAAGTCGCCATCTTCGACTTCGAATCGCATTTCATCGAGAAACCACGCACGGAAAGGGACCGTTGCAGAGAGTTGGCGGTGAAACGTGCACCAGCAGTCAGGGCGGCGATGGACTGCTTGAGAGAGAGCCCGGTATTTGAAGGCAACGATGGCAAAGACAAGGTCGTGGCGTTGGACGGGAGAGTGTTTCCGCCGGTCAAGTCGCAAGAGATTATCGACTCGCCCGCTAATGCTCGTGCGAAACTGCGCGAGTGTGTCCTGTACTACGTCTTCAAGAAGAAAAAACTCAACGGCACGAAACTCAAGGGCGCGACCAAGAAGAAGGTTTTCTCCATCCCGGCTAGGAACAGCATCAACAAGGCCACGAAGAGTCAAGGGAGGTCGTCTGCACTCAAGGATTCCGTCGGTAATGCCTACGCTGGGGGGCAAGAGTGGAAGGCCCTCACGCTGAACATGATCGATGCGGCCAGAGAAGGTGGGGGTGTGGTGACGCAAGACCAGATGCTGGAAATGGTAGCTTCCGTAGGAGCGGCCACGCCGTACAGCATGGCCAACGCGACAGGAGGTGAGGAAGAGAGCGTGCGCAATACAGGTTGTCATCTCGTGCTCTCGCTCCCAGCCGAAGCTCACCCACTCTCCACACCCGTGTTTCTGAGTGCTATTATCATAATGCATACCGCATCACATTGTGTTCACCCCCCCATCCCCAAACACCCCTGTTGGTTATCTCTCCCCAAACGTATCAGGAGCTAAGCACGCCAACAAGGCGGCAGGTCCAGGGAAATGGGTCAGAGAGCACTGTGCCGACGGGTTCGCAGACGACCCGTTTTACGACGCCGACGCTCATGGCGTGGATCTTCCCGTGTCAATCCACCAAGGGGTGCACCCGGAATATCTCGAGAAGGGAACTGCGGGAATAATCGACTACTTCAAGAGGCAGCTGTTGTCGAAGTGGCTGCAGTCAACCGAGCTACTCATGGTGTGCTACGACCGACAGGAACTGGTCCCGGTAATCAAAGGACAAGAGCAGCTTGGGAGGACCGAGAAACTTGGTGAGTGCTCTCGGACCTTCGACCCGAAGTCAACGGACCCTGTTCCTTCGTTACAGTATGGACCATGGCTTCGAGCCGATGGCAAGGCGGCGCGGGACGGAATCGCCGCCAACCTCGCCATGCGCGTGCTAGCTGATGAAGTCTGGACCGGCGACACCAAGCCGAACGGAATCGTCGCATTCTATGGCGTCGGAGGTGAGCCTGGTCTGAGAGCTGATCATCCAGCTGGTGTAGATGCGGAGGGCGTAGGCCTTGAGATGGGAGGGGTAGGTGCCACGGAGGCGCTTTCCGGAACCGAACCACTCCTTCACTTTCGAAACGGAAACGACCCGATACTCGGCGTCGAGCGGCAGCGAGGGCCAGACATCGGCGAGGCGGAGCTCTCCGTGATACACTTCATCGTTTGGGCGAAGAGGTACTGGGGGAAAAACTTCCACAAGTGGATCGTTTCATCGGTAGACACGGACCTATGGATGATCATTCTACTGGCGATGACCACTGGTTGGCTCCGGCCTCGTGGCGAGGGGGCGGTTGACGTGACCGTCCAGAAGGTCGTGGGTGGCGAGACCAAGTTCCTGTGGATGAACAGAGTGTTCGCCAGCATCTGCGAGCTCCAGGACGGAAGCGAGTCCGCGTGGCCGCCATTGACCTTCAGGGGATGGATTCCCACGGACAATGACAAGGTCCGTCTGTTCGTCCTAACGTTCCTGGAGTCGGGCTGTGACTACCTCCCGGCAATTTCCGGGCTGCCGTTCGACAAGATGTGGGTACTGGCCCTCAAGAGCGTGCGGACGGAGGGATTGTTTGACAGGCCGCTGTTCTTTGAGGAGGAGGATGGCACGTGGGCCGTGCATGTCAACGAATGCGCGAAGCTTTTGGCGACCATGTTCTTCTACAAGGATGAGGCGGCGTTTGGCACTGCTCATTTGACTCCAGCCCAGCTGGTCGAAAGCGTTGATGGCGACGTCGAGGGCTACGTGGACGTGATCCGCTACGCCATCCTCCAACTCCCTAAGAAGAAGACGACAGCCACCTGTCCATCTTTTTTTTCCTTGCGCAAGCAGGCGGAACGAGGTAACGCCATCTTCCGGTACTGGCAGAATGGCCTGAGGGCGACCATGCCGGCGACAGAGTTTGCCGGCAAAGGATGGAGCGTCGACCCACGAGGAAAGGGGAGCGACGGCGACGAACTCACAAAGGAGAACTGCGTGCTTGACCTGTCCGAGTATGCTTATATCGCCCCTGACCGAAAGACAGTCACGCTTGCGTGTGGTTGCAATCCGGACACGGCCCTGTGTAACAGGTGCAGGTGCAAGAACAAGAAGTGCTCGCTCGCTTGCGGCTGCAGAAATCGTTGCACCCTACGGCGGGTGGCCCCGGCACCCGTGCGTGCAGCGGGGAGGTCTGCGTCACGGCCTACGGTGGGTGCTCCTCAAACTAGTCGGGTAGAGGGTACCCCCCGACCCCAGCCACACATCGAGAGTCGGCCACGGCCATCCTACAGTGTTGCCAACGCCATGGCACTCTTTGCCGCTTCTATGAGGCAGCAGGAATCGCACGGAGCGGAACAGAACGACGTGGAGGCGGGGACCCCCGAGTCGCTTGCGAGCAAGGACGTTTCCGCCGGCGAGGCCGCGGAATCCAAGAACGCAGAGTTGGAGGACCCCGAGTCGTACGATAACGGCGACGGTTCGGTCGGAGCACTCGACGATTTGATCAAGTTGGATTCGAGCGAATCTGGCTCCAGCGATGGGGAACCTGACGGGGTGAGCGAGAAAAGCGTCAACTCCAACTGGAGTGATGGAGACACAGATGATGGGGTTGCGGATCTCGTCACCGACGCCTGGAACTGAGATCTGGCTACTTCTTCAGGCGGGTACATAATATATCGTTCCTTGGGATTGGGGTTGGGGATGTCGTGCCCGGCATTATTGCACGTCAGATCTCCACGTCGTACCGAAAGATCGTGTGGTCTGACTTATTCTAACTCCATGTTTCAATAACATTTTTCGCGCGTCCTTGTTGGTGGTTGAACAGGTCCGTGCTTCATTTCCGTTGGATGCATCCATCCACGAGATACGACGACCCCGGGGTACGAGACATCAGACGGACGAACAGCGCGCGCGACTTCTCCCCTGTATTTCTCTACCCAGTTGCGCAGGGAGGTGCACGGGGGGGATTATTTTTCAGCCGCGCTGTGTGTCCGTTGTTTATTGGCATAGTATTTTGTTAGTCGCAAACTGCCTGAAAGGTACGGGGGTGCTGTGTGCGTTCCGGGCCTGTCTGTGTCGTTTGTACTGGCTGTAAATAAGGTGTTTGTTGTTTCCTTCAGATCGGGCATGATGTTGATAGGTGTGGGCAACCCGGGGGGGGCAGTCTTGTGTGCGGGGTTCGTGTGTAAGTATTTCCTCGCGTTTTCGACACACCCAATGCTCAGTGCGTACAATGTATTTGTATGCTTTGAGACAAAACACTTCAACAACTACAGTAGTCTAAATATAGTCTAGTGTGTACATATTGCCGGCCGTGCCTGTCTGCGTGCGACGTCAGATAGCACAAGGTCATCAGTGATCAAGTTCCCCGTTATTGTAGCTGCCGTGATACTGTCGCTACTCCATCCTCTCATAGTTTTTTTCCCCGGGATTCTGGAGAGTTGTACTGCTGGGTGAGGGCCCCGAGTCAACAGGCACAAGTGTGTGCGGTGCAACACCGCAGCAGGAGAGGGGGGTACCCCAAAAGCAATTTCGGTTCAAATGTAGCTGACGCCATTCAACAGTACTCCACGTGTAGTACGTCTTGCAGCACAATTCCAAGTGCTGTACAACCGCAAGATCAGCAGCTAACATTACCAATGCTCGGTGTTGCCGGCGGCGTGACAGAAAATAAGCATGGTGCCTGTATGTAAATGCAAGTTTTCAACTTCATCTGTGTCTATCTCTTGATTCCCGCGATCAGTCAAGTTCAACTCTTCTGAAATTTACTCTATGGTACTCAGTCCATCTTCCCTCAAATTTTTGTGGCGATGGATGCTGTAGTGGGCGCGTTCTTGTGCTTGGTCGCTTTGGCGGGTGCACAGCAGGGTGGTTGCGCCGCGTAGATACGAGTCTCACATTTTTTTAGGGGAGGGGCTGCGTGTTGCGCCGACAAGTTTGAAGCCTACAGTGGACGGAATTTGCCAAATCTTGGTTCCCTAGATAGCTACTGGCATAGTCTACTGCTGTAAGCCTTTAGCCTTCGGTGGATGTACGCCAGTCGCGCTGCTAATCTGTGTAAAACGATATTTTTTGTTCCTCCGCCTACTTTTTTTTTTTTCTGTCGTGCAGCACTGCTGTAGAAGAAACCCGCCCCGGGTATTATGGAACACTTTTTTTATACGGACGTATCTCCGAGCACAACTCGCGGGGACCCCTGATTTTTTGTTTGCATTTTTTAGCTTCCCGTTCGCTCTCGTTTGAGCACTTCAGCGCGCCGATCGGGTCAAGCACTGCCGAGCTACAGCACAGCCCCCACCCACACCCCTGATGTGGGCCATGTTTTCCCTTGCTGGGGTCCTGCTACTAAGCATGGGACGGGCGAGATTAGACCCAGAGCGGGCGCAGAAGGCTGTCGATGCAGGTACGCAGCTGTGAGATGTCGTTTAGAGTTGCTGCGGACACCTACGGGTTGAACCCGACCTCGCTCCACCGCCGTGTGAAGAAGGAGGTGGCCATAGATGCGAGGGTTGGTCCCGGGACTGTCCTGAGCAAGGAGGAGGAAGATTTCGTAGAAGATGTGTTGATCTACGCCTCCCGACACTTGTTGCTGTTGGGTCGGAGGGAGCTGAAAGAAGCTGTGCGGAAGATCCATCTACATAGACGGACGCGAGGTGCCCTGGGACCCAGACAAGGGCCCGGGGGACAGCTGGCTTGAGGGATTCATGGCGAGGCACCCGGGGTTGTCGGAGCGAGCCACCCACATCTACGAAGCAAACCGGATCAACGAAGACGACGAGCCTTGCCTTGAAGCCTTTTACGAGACATAGATAGGAAGCGTACCTCGCGGAGACCAAGCTCACGCCGGACCGCATCATCAACACGGACGAGACAAGCGGTTAGGGCAAGGGCTGAGGTGTCAGTGGTGTCAGTATCGGTTGCTGTGGGTTCGTAGGCGAAGTACCAGCAGCACTGCGATGTGTGATGTGTGTCACTACACAGCGGAGTTCTTCTGCTGCTGCTGCTGCAAAAAAAAAAACAATTGTTCCGCATATCTTTCCGAGGCCGCTACTGCTTGCCATGTTTGTAGCTTGTAATAGCACACAACGCGCATATGATGCTGGATCCGGTTGAGGGTTCAGCATGCAACAATCCCTGTGGTCATCTCATATAAACTCTAGCACAGAAATGGTAGGGCTCATGTACGATATTCTACACGGTGTTTTTGTTGTGTGCAACACGCGACAGGGGGCGTGTGCGGTGTTGGTCCGCATGCACGTGTGTTGCCAATGCTGTGCGAAGCGCAGTCAAGTCGAGACACTCCAGTGTGACGCTTTGCTTTTGTAGACCCACCTTGGTTTCGAGCTCAATGTAAACTTTCATGGGTGTGGGGTTGTTGATCCACACCCAAAGTCTAAACGAATCCGACTGCTGTTGAAGAAAAAAAATGGTCCCGTTACCACCGCGGTGTGCCACCGCCCGGCCGGTGCGAGCTGCCCTCATGTGCGTGTGTAAGCGCGCTTTTTTGTGTGTGCGAGCGCTGCTGCTGCTGCGAAATTATGAATGATTTACTGATTGTTCGACTGCCTCCACCCCTGATGCACGCGCGTTCTCCGGTTTATGTTGTAGGTTCCACCCCGCAAGGGGCTAGGTGCCCGGCGCGAGGCGCTCCAACTCGCGAGCAAATACGACGGTGGTCGCCAGCATCGACGCCGACGGCCACACCTACAACCCTATCATCATCGACAAAGGCCAGCGTATGCAACCAACTTGGATCCAGGACAAGAACGACGTCCCCGATGCGAAGTACACCGTCACGGAATCATCCTTATTCCAGAGCCACGTGTTCCTCGACTACCTTCGAGACCTCCGCGAACAGCTCGATGCACGCGGCTTGCAGGACAAAGTTGCCCTTGTGCTCGACGGTCACGCCTCGCACACGACCTTCGACGCCATCAACTTGGCCATTTCTCTGGACATCGACCTCTTCCAGCTCCCGTCCCACACATGGCACATCACCCAGCCCTTGGACGTTGGTACGTTCGGAACCTTCAAGAAGGAGCTCACCAGGGTGCTCACGGCCTACCCACCGAAAATCGGGGGGAGGAGTCCGGTGAAGCGCGACATGGCTGGCGTGATTGCGGAGGCATGGAGAGGGAGATTCACGCCTGCGAGCAACATGGTGGCGTTCAAAGGGGCGGGCTTGTGGCCAGTGAATATGGAGAAGGCCATCAACCGACTACACAGCAAGAGGAAGCAACGGGAGAATGACCGCCCTATTCCTGAAGACCTCGCCGTCGTTGCCTCCAAGAAGCAGCTCGAAGAAGATCTCGGCCACGCTGCCCTCCTGGAGCTAAAACGACAGGGAGTGATGACCGAGGGGCTCCGCGTGAACACCGTGTTCCTCGGCGGGCTCACCCGCCTTACCAAGCGCTCCAAGTCTTTCGCGACCGTTCGGGCGGGCGGGGGGAAGCCCGAGGGCGGTCTCCTGTCCGCCGAAGAACTGGGGCGGGTGGGCGTGCTCGCGGAGAGGGAAGGGGGACTGGTGGGCGGGGGGGGGCCGGTGCTCGCGTCCAAGTAGGAGCGGGACGGCCGAAAGGGGCGGTGGTTCCCTTGGTTCAGCCGCCGCCGCCGCCGGCCCCTTTTTCCTCTCGAGGACCTCAACGAACCCCGACACCAATCGTTGATGTGTAGACTAGATGCTGTACGGTTATCGTTTTTTTATTCGAGTGAAGGATGAATTAGTCGAGTGAGACATACAGAAAACGTCAGTTGAGTGTCGAGGTGCCGATATGCACTCCAGGGTTGTGCTTCAACAGCTTTCGGGGGTAGTTTTCGAGCGTACCACGGGGTGGGTGGGGGATGGGGGGTGTAGAGGTGTTTTCCGGACCCCGGGGACGTTGAAATGCTGGCCCTGGGCCTGAAGGGCTGTTGATTTTTTTGCTGCTTCGCGACTTGAGCTGATCGTCTTTAAAGGACCTTTCGATGGGGCGTTCGAGTGGTGGGAAACAGGTGCGGCTTTCTGCGAGAAGTCTCACCGCAGTGCCAAGCTGCTTTTTGCCTGGCCCAGTTAACGTGCTTGAATGTATGTAGTCTATGTGAAGAGGTCAAATGAGCTTCAGACGACATAGTTTTTCTTACAGTCAAATTGATGTGCCTAGTAGAAGCTTAGGGTGGTTTCTAGGGCTATGCAGAGATGCTTGGGGTGCACTCCAGCAC